TACAACTTCATATATTATCAATTAGATCAGATGGTGCAATTACTGAGTTTCAAGCACAAGAAAAAATACTTACAATTCAAACATCAAAGCAACTTTCAATTCATGATAACAACTTAAATGTTCATTTTAGTTGTCTAATTTTTGATAATATTGGTCTTATTATCCGAGTACAAGATTCAAAACATGCTAAGAAAACTGCTCATAATGCTTTAATGTCTGAAGCTCGTTTGTTGACATTTGGAATATCATCAGCCCAATATTCTTATCTTCTTAATCTTATAGAATATCATGATTCAATTATGTATAGAAATGATGTTGTAAAGTTAGATCATCAAGACGATAGTGCTGCATATAGAACTTTTTGTTCTGCAAATTTAAAACTATGTTTGATCTCAGATTATAAAATACAACCTGGAATAGAAGGTTTTTTTATATATCTATTTGTAATGGGTAAATAAACTAGTTTATTTTATTTTTTATTTTTTTTTTTTAAAAATGCTATATTTATTTATACATCTTTATATTGTTTATTTTTAGGCGAAATTATAGATAGTTATCTTAACTGTAATATAGTATCAATTGAAAGAATTAGAATAGCAATGACGGGCTTCTTTTTTTATATTTTTGGAAATTTCATATTCAAACGCTTGCACAAAAATATTCTGATTTTATTATTATTAACCAGAATTTTTTAGCTGATCAAACATTTTTAATACTTATTTCTTTGTGTCAATCAATAGTTTTGTTAGTTAAAGCTCATCGTGAATATTATCCTCAAATACCTTTAATTTCTTGGATACATGAAACTGAATCTTGCGAACATTTTTTTGATACTGCAAGACAAATAAATTCTGATTTTAATTTTGCAGAGATTATTCAAATGCTTCCAAAAATATCTCAACATATAAAAGTACAAAGAGATAATAAGTTAAATTTTGAAAAGAATAAATTAGTTCGTGAAGGTATTTAAAAAATATATATATTTTATAATTATTGTAAATAAGTTTAATTAATTTAATTATTTTTTTA